GAGCAATGGTGTCCGTGTAAGTGGCTACATGACGGCGTAATACAATCCTGCGGTTATATTAACCAGTCAGAGTGCAAAGTCACACATGGCCGCCAAGGCAGCAGGCAGGCGCAGCAGCAAAGCTACACACACACACGGATGTGTGTAGACACTCGTATAGGTGCGTAAGGACACATTGAGTGCCAGGATAATAGCAGTAAAGCAACAATGCTAGCATAAGCCCACACTCACAATTGGATATACTTACATATACATACATACATACATATGTACACCCACATCCACATGAGCGTATGTGTGTGCCTGTGTGTGTTGGCGCGCACTTGAAGGCACACACCAAATTACTGATACAGCAGAAAGCCAATACCTCATGCCATTTGGACGCACTGAGCCACAGCGCGCTAGCTTTGCTATTGTTTTTGTTATTGTTTGCTCTGCATTACGCGCGCTGSGTGTCGACGTTGCCTCTTCGTGCTGCTGCTGCGGCTGCGGCTGCTGTTGATATGGCGACTTTTGTGGGTGTTGATTTCATGTGTCCTCGTGACTTTATCAGGGTATGTGCCGCGTTGTTGTTGTTACTGCTGCTGCTGCCATTTGTGGTGCGTGCTCGCCTCAGCTACTCATACCRCGTCTTTGTCGCATTTGTATTGTCAAAAAGTCGTTTTTTTTTTCTACATAACGCTGGATTTTAATGTCAGACCAGCCACCCCTCTGTGACTAGCAGCACCAAGCATACACAACTACACACACACACACCCACACTCATGCGCGCTGGTCGCTTCACATATGACGCTCTCATACTCTCACTCGAGTGCGCTGCCAGCTAAGCTCCGCCTCTTTTCTGTCGATTGGCTTGCTGGCTGGAAGAGCGTCACCATTTTTCGACCAGTTTTTGCCGCGCAGACGCAGGCTATTGGTCGAACTCGAAGAAGCAAAAGCTTTTGAGAGTGTACTGTGCTGTATTTGTAGTCTCTGCTTTACAAAGCTGTAAAGTTTGTTTCAAYTTTTGTATTTGTTTATAAGGCGATTTGTTTTATGTTAACAGCTGTGCAATCGATTATTGTATTTACGGTCACGTGTTATTGATTTTGATTAGCTTAGCTGTATTTACTTTTTTACTAATTGTACATAGGTGGTAAGCTTTGGTAGCTTGGTTACACATAACTTTTAATACATAGAAGAATTTTACTGACTATGTACATATGTATGTAGCTACTATATACTATACTATACAAATATTTCATAATACATGGTAGTATTTTCAACATAGATGAAATATTTGCGACCCTTGGAGATAGCAAGTATTAAAAAAAAAAAAATAAAAAATAAAAAAATCACAATATTCGAAACAACAATTGGTCATACTAATTTTCGATAATGCTAGTATAGGGCGATCCATTTCGAGGTTCCGCACTTTTCTAAAGCAAAGGTCAGRAACTTCAAATTTAATGGGAAATGTCTATTATCATTCGAAAGAACATTCTTTGGCATTTACTTTTCGAAGATTATCTCTTTCAAATGTTGGCCGCAGCTACGTTACAGATAGTCCATCCAATTAGTTCAAGCCTTTCGTCTAGTAACTGGCGATTCCATGGTGTGGGCACAAAATGCGTGGGTTTTTCACTATGAAAACCCKCCGTCACATTCTAGTATAATTGTGTGGCTAAACACGAAACGAGTCTTCGCTCAGCAACTTCATTCGCCGTATTTGGCTTCCTGTGACTTTTTTCTTTTCTAAACTGAAAAGTTCGCTTCACCGAACGCCCCATGAGTCCGTTGAAGCCATCCCCTAAAGATCAACTCAGCCAAGGTTTGTAATAAGTGTATGCAAAACTGCATTAAATGTGGATAAGCTCAAAAGGTTGTTGGCTCAAAAGGAGTCTGTTTTGAAGGCGCATGGTATTAAAATACTGAACAGTTAGGTCAGTTCGCTGCATTGTTCCGTGCTAGCTTTTGATCTATGAATCCTGCGTGAGCTTTGTAAGCGCCGKTCAACAACCAGAACTTGTGCGGCTGCGATACTCGTCTGTACTAAAGTGGAATGCAAGTAATGCTCTGATCTGCTTGCTCTTAGCAAGGTGCCTCTCGCCGCTAAAAGAGACGCTCTGACAGAACACTATACAATAAGCTCACATGCAGACTTCTTTTTTCAGGGAGCTTTTTACAGCGAGCTTTTTTCAGCTTCGGCTCTCSTTTGCCATGTAATTGGGCCGATTAATCRWCTGTTACCGGATCGTAAGCACAGATCATAGACTTATCGCCAGTAAACACGTTTCATGACATCCTGGTGGTTGGAAAGCATTGTTAGTGATTTCGAAATCAATCTTGTTTCACAATTTTTTAGGTCCAAATTGATATTGCAAATTGATTTTCATTGATCCCTCCRTTACGTCAAAGATGCCAGTGAGATCTCTGACTGTTAATCCTCGATTCTCAGGCACAAATTCTTTTATTTATCACAGAATTTCACAAACTTCATGGCAAACACCCTGTTCTGGGCTTAAACAGAAAATAAATCAGAACTGTTATATACATAACTCAATTTTCAATTGCAAATTCAGTAATTTATGAATACCTAGCTAATTATACTCGCATTAAGATTTGAGACGCGTGTGTGCGCGAAGTCAATTTCAGCGAATATTATTTTTAATGAGGTAATCGTCTAATTTAGTATTAAATCTGCGACAGAGCATTGAAAATGTRTAATATTTCAAAAATGCTGGCTTATKYTTGCATAATAATAATTTGGATGATAGCAAATGTAAGGACTCTTCATTAGAGCATATATTTATTATATTTTATAAAAAAAAAAAGTTAAGTAAAATTATTTATTATTTTTTTAGTGCGATTCGGCYAGCGTTAGAATGACTTATCTGCGCTGCAAAGCTATTGACAAGAAACTACTCAGCATACCGTTATGTATAACTAAACCGATTTCGAGAAACATTACAGAGACGTCCTTACATGTGATCCTGACACGTCCCATATCGGATGTGACTGTGAGTACATGCTTTAGGGCAATGCCAGAATACAGAAGGGTGTCTGTTATACAAGTATAATATTATATTTTATATCTTGTTCGCCGCGTTCGTCTAGGTGCGCATTAGCTTTATGAAGAAATCTACGGACTATTCTTTGTATTTCGGAGARCGAACTTATGATGCTTGCAAATTCATTGCTAAACGAAAAATGTTTCCAGTTCCAGATTATTTGTTTGGAATCATAGAGGATTTTACAAATCTGAATCACTCCTGTCCAYATGAGGTAATTTAAAAGTACACATTAATAGTTACATTACAAAACATATATTTTAACTAAAAAAGTAATAAAAAAAAAACATGAAAAAACCTTAACTTCGACTGAACCGAAACTATAATATACGACTTATTAACAAAAAAGGGTATACTAATATATACATCCTGATTTTGATACGAAAGAACACTCTCGTCGTCTATATTTTGAAGCTTATCTCCCTCCAATGTTGGCCGCGTCTACATCTTAGATGGTCCATCCTTTAAATTCAACTAACGATAACTCGATCGAGCATTTCGTCAGTTAACTGGTGGAAAACCCCCATGATGTTTTACTCCAAGGCCTGAATCGAAACGGGATTGTCCGTATGGACTTTCGACTTTATACATATATCCCCACATGAAAAAGTCTAACGCTGTGATATTACACGACCGTGGTGACCAATCGCCCGGCCCAAAACGTGAAATAATCTGCTCAGCAAAGTGTTCTCTCAATAAATCCTTTGAGTGATGCGATGTGTGGGAAGTGGCGCCGTCTTGTTGAAACCAAATGTCGCCGAGATCACAAGCTTCAATTACAGGCATCAAATACTTGGTTATCATGACGCGATAACGGTCGCCATTGACGGTTTCGTTCTTGCTGCTTTTTTTTCTGAATAAAATGGCAGCGCTTGAATCTCTTCAGATTGCTCCGACGTTCTTTCTGCGAGACTTTGTAGTAAACTTAGCATACCCTTTTGAGGTTATGAGAAATAATAGTACATACAAATTTGGAAGTCAGAAATTATAAAAATATATGAAAAATTCGATTCACTTTCGAAAATATTATTTTATATTTAATTATTAATTTACATTTGATTATCAATCCATATTTAGTAATATTCCTTTTTCCTCAAAGGGTGACATAATTGTTGACCGCTTTCGCGTACGAACTTATAAATTGACATGGCTACCGATGCCCGAAGGTGAATATGCAATTTAYACACATTGGACCGTCAAAGGAAAGTCCGTTGCGGAATTCAATGTCTTTTTTAGTTACAATTAATATTTGAGGCATATACTATGTCTTGATACTTAGAAAATTCATTTCAAAATACATATGGCACATATGTAATATACAATATACAATGATAGATAAGATAATGAGAGGCTTTGGGGAAAAAAAACTTATTTTTAAGATCTCAAGAGAATAGTCTGCAAACAGTAATATACATATGTAGTTTACGTTACTTAATTTAGCATGGGCAAGCAATGACATGAATAATCCCACTTGGACAGCTAGATATGTACGCTTGTGAACTGTGATGTTCAGAACTTCTAAGTATGGAACGAAAAGACGAATTTTGTGAGGCGGAATATCATACATAATCTCAAAATATATATCCAAAAAAAAATTCAAATTACAAGAATTTTGTGTACCTTCTTGTGGTGTTATTGGTGTTAAATGAAGGCAGTAAATATTGAAGAACTCTAGAAACGAATTGGAATTCATTTAAAAAGGCGCATCRTGGTTACAGGGTTTATGGCCACCTTTCGTTATCTCCTTCTCAGTGAACTTGTTATGAGTTCCATACCATCTGATATTGGTAGCTATGTAATCGAAGGCAAGAGCTACGAAATGTTAAAAAAAAACCTTCTTTAAATTAAATCTGGAAAACTGAAAATATTTGCACTAGAAAGCGTAAGATCACGAAATAGTACTAAGCAAATTTGACTCGAACTGGTCCATAATCGAATCGATTTCTTACAGAGGATACAGCAGAATTACTTCCGGACTCAGAGGAAGGAAATAGAGAAAAAAAAATTGATTGACCTGGCAAAAGCATCAAATACGATAGATACGCTRTTTGTAACGTTCCGAATTCGAAGACAAAAATCTGAGAATCCATTTTCATCCATTTATTCAGCCACGAAAAAAAATCGGCGTAGATTTGAAGACGCTATTTTCTAGAGAAATATTGGTTGGATTTCAACTAAGTTTGCTGCTTCCAGAAAYAGTATTTGCTTAGAAAATCATATAAATGGAAAATCTTATGACAGTTAGCCACCCTGCGGTTTAAATATCGGTTAGAAAAAACTTTCGAAAATTTCCAACCCAAATTTCAACCTTCCCACCCAAAATTGAACACATTTTGCTACAATAAAACAAAGAAAAAAATATGTATATATGTATATATGCATATACCTCGCGATAAACCGCACTTCCAGCGTTGGTTATTGACGTTTTTCATAAATGTGCTAGATAGCAGATTACTAGCGCTTTTTAAGCATTTTTTCAAGTATTTGTTTAGGCGTTGGAATTACAATCCTTTTAATGTGATTTCATATTTCTTTCAGGCAGTTTTTAATTTTTCTTTTTTTTTTTGATTTTTTTTACTTAAAACCAAGTGAAATGAAGTGATGTCCCGTTGGTGAATGTGTTGGGTGTGAAAGAGGCGCATACAAATGAAGCTGAAAGATGGAGTGAAAAAATACATGATGAAAAAATGCGAAAAATTAGGGAAAATATGAAAAAACTTTTAACTTCGACTGCACCGAAGCTATAATACCCTACACAGGTGCATTTTTATAACATAAAAGGGCATAAAAAAATCTTTATTCTTACTTTAATAGATCACTTTCTTTGGCTGTTATAAGCTATAGAGGTTCGAAAACTATATGCTATAGTAGTCCGATCTGAAAAATATGTTGGAATATTGAAGCAAGGTCTTGGCCAATAACTGTCTCTTATACACATCTAGATGTGTATAAGAGACAGGCTGAAAGATGGAGTGAAAAAATACATGATGAAAAAATGCGAAAAATTAGGGAAAATATGAAAAAACTTTTAACTTCGACTGCACCGAAGCTATAATACACTACACAGGTGCATTTTTATAACATAAAAGGGCATAAAAAAATCTTTATTCTTACTTTAATAGATCACTTTCTTTGGCTGTTATAAGCTATAGTGGTTCGAAAACTATATGCTATAGTGGTTCAAAAACTATATGCTATAGTAGTCCGATCTGAAAAATATGTTGGAATATTGAAGCAAGGTCTTGGCCAATAATATGTCCAAAATTTCGTGAGGATATCTCGTCAAATGTAGAAGTTTTCCATATATGGACTTACTTTTGATTTTACACTTTCTATGGCAGCTATATGCTATAGTGATCCGATCTAAACAATAAGCTCGCAGATTGTATAGTTGTCTAGTATAATCATTTATCTAGATATTTGGGAAGATATCTCGTCACATGAACAAGTATTTCATACAGGGACCCGGTTTTGATTGGTCGATTTGTATGGCAGCTACATGCTAAAATAGTTCGATCTGAACAATATACCTTGAGATTCATAGTTTTACCTATGAAAATAATCGATGATAAATTTCGTAAATACATCTCGTAAAATGAAAAAGATTTCCATACAAGCACTTGATTCCGAACGTTCACTTTGTATGGCAGCTATATGTTATAGTGTTCCGATCTAAAAGAATTGKTCGGAGTTTGTAGCAATATCTTAAGCAATAACACATGTTGAATTTCGTGAAGATATCTTCTGAAATAAAAAAGTTTGCCTTACAAAGACTTGATTTTGAGGGATCAGTTTGTATGGCAGCTATATGCTATAGTTGTCGGCTATTGGCGATTTCCACAAATAAGCAAATTCTTGAAGAGAAAGGCGCGTATGCAAATTTTCAGAACGATATCTCAAAAACTGTTAAGGGTATAATAATTAATTTAAAAGAAAAGCGGCTAACGAACGAATAAGAGTGATTTGTGTGTATGTGTGCGTGGGCGGGTGCATTTTTTATGATTTATGGTATGTAAAATATGAATTTTTCGGGTAAACCGTTACTAATGCCCTAAAGTAGAAATGCATTAGCGAAACATTGACTATGGACACGAGGCACACAAGACGAGCGTGCTGAAAGAGGAAACGTAAAATAAGCAGAAGAACAAAAAACAAAAAAAAAAAAGTTGAAGAAAAGCGAGAAAAACACAGTTATTAAAGTAAAACCCAAACATTTGTTCTGCCTAGTTATCACTGTGCTATTCAGCTAAAGTGTTTATGCATAGAGTGTTGCACTAATCCTTTTGCCTTGCAACGCTAAACGACAAGCACACAGCCGAGCATGAATGACGAGCGGATGACGAATGCTGAGCGGGCGCATTAAAAACAAAAGCTCTGCGAATGATTCGAGGAATTGCTGGAAAAATGAATAAGTGAGGAATGGGATGCGAAAAATATATATGTCTTAAAAAAGAGAGAAAATAATGTTAAAGCTACAATGGAAATGGTCAAAGATAGATCGGATTTTTTTTTTTTTTTTGTTTTTTTTTTTTTTTGCTTAAAAACCAAAGAATTTCAAAAGTTTACGTGACAAAGCAAAAATTTGTGCTAATAAAAAGTGATTATTGGTCATACAAACGAAAGAGATAGGCACCTTAAGAATAAATTAATAGCTTTGAACTCTCTTAAAGTTCGTTCTGCTGACGACCAAATACGACCAAAAAGTAGCAACATGATTAGTTAAGAGTTTGAATTGGCTGGCTGTCACGCCATAGGTCTCATGCCAACTTGCCCTTTGGGGAGTATCGTGGTGGTTGTGATTAAAACCCAAATGCTGGAAGAACTGACACTTGAATGTGGAATTGCATTGCAACCGGGTGMMGGACCCAAAGCATGTCAGAGGTTTTAGCTGGACATCGAACCCTAACATGGTGGTTAATGTGTATTGTCCATACTTCCAATTGGTACTGAAAAATTCCTTGCGTTTTCAGGGCACTGATCAAYGCATTGAGTTSATATCAAATAAGTCTTAGTTCTATACTRTAATGCCGAACAGAAGCAGAACAGGTGTGCCAGCGTCTCTCTCATACCTAGTTTCCTGCACTTTTTACATGTGTCATCGTCAATAATATCCACACAGTTTGCATGTGATAACAATAACTTGTGACCTGTAACAACCGTTCTGTAGTTTCTTCGAGACAATCTGAGAAAAAAGCGTGAGTGTTTGCCTGTCCTTTGTTACACATGATTTTGGAGATTCTGCATGTCTGGTTCGRTAGCCAAGCTGGTTCGGATGCTTCTTCGCTGTACACCCTCCTTTAATGTGACATTTCTCTCCGATCAAGCTTAAGGTTATGCCATCTATTTTATCCATCGGCCCAATGTTTATCGGGCTATGTCCGAAGATTATTGTGGAAAACTCACTCAGCGTCGATAATCTTGCAGCTAGTTTCGCTGCAGACTTTTACAGTGCAATACCCATTAGTGGGAGGTGAAGTAATTCTTCTAGGGCAGTCGTTGGAGTCGTTCTGAGTTCYCTCATTCTGCATCCACTCTATTCATTCCAACGTTTTTCTGTATGAGATTTTGCAGACTGCGGTCCATCACACCAAAGCACCTTAAAGCAAGAAGCACAAGGCTGACTASCGCTAATACATAAGGCCAAGTGGTAGACTCCATATAGACCCTAACATTTTCTTACATGCTTATGGAACACCACAGGGCTATTTCACTATCTGCTTCACATTGAATTTACATATCAGTATGCTGTCTAAAATTAATCCCAGATACTTGGTTTCCAGTATGAGATTTTGGCGGTAACTGTGGAGCATATCAGTGGATGCGGCCAGGTGATAAGCTCCATGTAGATCTAGCATCTCTGACATGCTAATTGGGCACCACTAACCTCTACCACTCTCTTCTCGACATTCAGTGTCGACCTCAGTTTGCTTATCTATTTACAGCTACTTGACCCCATTTTGACCCCAACTTTTTCTTACACGCTTGGAGAGCAACACTGGCCTTTTTACCCTGTCTACCACCTAAGTACCCACATCAGTCTGCTGTTCAAAATTACTTCCAKATATAATCCTTAATTGTTAGCTTTAACAAGTTGATTCTCAGAAGTTTCCATGATGCGATCTCATACCTCCTTCTAATGAGTACCATATCTGTTTATTTATCTCTAGGTTAGCTGATATCGCTGATCGTTGTATTAYTAGGACTTTCTCGTCACTCGTCATACGATATCAGTTTGGGCGCTTTCCT